TTTCACGGTGTATCAAACAATTGCAAGACGAAGTTAGATTGCGGGGTAACTTTAATTGTTAAGCGAGTAAAAATTGCAGTATCGTTTAATATCGGGGAAAGTTGATTGTTAGTTTCAGCCTCGCTGTTTTAAAAATTCCGGCTACTTGTTGATTAATTTTTGCACGTTTAATTATTTTTCAAATAGTTTTTTTTCATATAAATTTAACTTTCCTACAATTCAATCTCATCTTGTGTCAGTAGCTTTTTGATGATAGATTCTTCGACCTTTTGAGCCGACCTTTTTTTAGCAAATATTTGAAGGAAAATTTAATTGTGAAGATATTTAACATCGAAGATTAAACTCTCATCTCAATTAAGTTTCAAGGATGTACATAGATAACGGAATCTCCTTTCTTTGTCAATTTCAAGTCGAAATTGAATTTCTGCGTATGCACTTCTTATTTCTTCGCAGAAGAACAGAGGGAACAAAGAGTAATTATATTTATTATGCAGCCTGAATCTTGAGCGTTTCAACAAACAATCTATCTCGAAAGTTGTTAAATCGTCAAAGAATAAGCAACAAATAATTAATATTGTCTTATTACTACTCTCCATCTTTCGTCCCAATTATTTATTTACGCGTCTAAGAGTTAAATCCCAGTCGTCCTATGAAAAATCACGATTTGCAGCCGAGAGATCGCCGCGGCAGTAGTTCAGCCATACGGAACGGCCATGGCGGGGAATCCGCAGGCAAGTGAAACTAGCGGAAGGAAGTCAGACCGTTTGTTTGACGATCGTGATATGCGGGGTGCACGTGGCATCTCGACGATGCTGATCGTCGTTTCGCCATATCTTATTTACCCCCGGCATCGTGTAACCGCTCGCGGAAATAGCGTGCTCCCATTTTCACGGAAATCTTCGCGGGAGAGGACTTGCCTCGAAAATGTTTTCGTCCCGGATGCGAACGGGTCCATCGGCAGCTGTGAGGGGGGGGGGTGGCAGGGGGAGGGGAGGGGGACGCATCGTGCGGAAAACTATCTTTCGTCGCGAGATGAGCGGAAACTTTTCAATCGAGTTTCTTGTTCGGGGCGGCGACGTCCCGTCTCGTCGCTCCTCCGTGAAGCGCCCTCGTTACGAGCTTTTTATTTTCGTCCCTTCGTTCCTGCGGCTCGTCCAGCCGGAACGAATCGGCGGCATCGAGGAAATCTCGATTGCGACGAAGCACGGCCAGGTCGAATAGATTTTCTCACGCTTTCCTAAGCGCGGAATGCCTTGCGCAAATTGTTCCGTCTTTACAAATTGTTAAAATATGAGATACAACGTGGTTGAAATATGTGGGGAATGAAGGATACACGAATTCTACCCTTCACATCTTCTTTCTCGACTTCCAAAAGCCAGAATTTCAAATAGATAGTTTTAAATAGAAATAAAAATTGTAATTGAAAATTTCCATTTCGGCGGATTATATAAAAGATAATTCAAACTTACATGTAAGCATTAATTAGTTTGATTTCGTTTGAAATGGAATGATAATATTAAGCGAGGAATACGAAGATCGCGACTTTGAAATAGTTTATGGGACATTGTAACCGTTAGCGGTTTTATTGAATTACTTACTGGGAGCAATCCGATCTAATTGTTGCTTCTAAATTAGAATATCAGATAGCAATGATTCATTAATTGTATTTCCAAATAATTTTTCTCGCAATATATATAGAATGCAGTAATTGACTACATTATAGCAGTAATATAATTGCAAAAATTAACACAAATGCATATCTTATTTCACTAAATGAGTTATAAATAAAATAGAATATATAAAAATAGAATAGAATATAATTTCCCGAACTCCTTTAGTAAATACATGTAAAAGAAAGAAATGAAACACAGCTTTTACCCTCAAGAAGAAGTTTTACTATTTTTCGAGAGAATTAAAATTACAGAAAGGAATTCGATTAAGGCAATAAATTAATTCTTCAGCGTTTCAGTATATCGCTAACGGTACTTAAAATTATTTATTTAAAGCAATCACAAATCGCGGAGATAAAATCATTTCTTTCGAGACTATAATCTGGCATTGAGGTGATTGAGAATTTAGCGAAACTCTTATCTCACGAAGCGCGATAGACTGAAGTTAATCGTGGTGGCATTGAGATCAAGTCGACCCATTATCTCAACGATGCACGAGTCAATCGGTTGCCAATCGGTCGAGTAATTCGACTCGGTCCGTTTATCGGTCAAAATGCGCATTAAGCTCCGTAGTCTGGCGCATTTAAACGGTTACACGAATCGGTGAATCGGTTCTTCAATGAGGAACTGTAAATAATTAAGTATGGCAGGTCGCGCGTTCTTGATCGATACCCATCTGAATAGCGCTTCCTATTGAGGAACGTAATCGCTTTTGAGCTGAACGAACCTCGGTCAAGCGTTCTGATAGTAAGCATTTTCCATGGATCCGCCGGGAATAGAGTGGTCCAATACAAACACGACTGGAGCAGAGATATCCGAAGATGCACTTCGGATTTAAAGATTTCGAAAAAATATTAGAAAGATATGAAAAATTTCGAAGAATTTATTTTAAAGACGCTCCGATAATCTTTTTAATTTTTGCCGAATAAAAAAGTTGATTGATATTTAGTTTCCTTCCAAAAACTAATTACGATCCTAAGTTCGGGAAGATTCCACCTATTTCACGTTCGTCTTTCGAAAGCTTGTCGAAAATCTGAAGGGAGGAATTTAGATATTTTGTCTATGGTAAATCATCTTATATAAGAGAAGTTCGAGAGTCGGTAAACTTCTTGCTACAATAAAGTTACTTATTCGCGCTAAATTCGCTAAATCATGGCTGTCTGAGAAAATAGTTCTTTCCCAGATATTCTCGCAGCTTCTACAAAATTTATGTTTCCCAAAACTGATCCTGAACTCGACGAAGATTTGTGTCTTTCGTACTTGTTTTTCTGATCTCCAAGTCCCCGGATACCGAATTTAGTCTCCTTAAGACTTCAGTTTTGCCCTATTGCACAAAAGCCTTTTGTGAATCTGCAAAGTTTCAAATGTACGTTAAAACTCCCCGTGCCGTTTTTATACCTGCGCCCCCCCGACGGAAAGCTCTAGCTTACTCCGATATTAAGGTAATGGCGCTTTTGTGTTCCTCAGAAACGCTCGACTCGGCAGGATGGAATTTACATGTTGCAATTATCGGATGTATCTTCAATTCATCGAGCTGTTACAAAAATAGCGACGTTTGTTCCGTGCGGAACAAGAAGTATCGCGCATCGATTCTCGATTCATACGCGACAGAGGCTCAGGAGACGACGGCCTCTACATCGCCGATTCGGAATACCAATCTGCGCGTGTCGTAATACATTACTTAACATCGAGTCACGTTTTTCCTGTTCACCCGGGTCGCATCCAGATGCGCAACGTACCGTGTTACGTGTTCGACAAGCAGGTGGCAAGGCGGCGGCGCCAGGCGTAGAAGAAGAGTCGTAAAATTTCATGCCAATGCCAGTAAAACTTAACAGCTCGACTGAGTCGTTATTACACCGAGTATCGCGGCTCGATAAAGCGAATATACTGTGTATACAATGCCGTGTTATATGTAACGTAATATCCTACGCGGAGGAGAGGATGCGCCGTCGTAAAAGATTGAGGACTCAATTTGATGCGAGAGAGGAACGCGAGAGATCGCGATACGTCGATCGAAAACACTTGTCGCTTGAGAAGAGCTAATTTTTTTTTTTTTTTTTTTTTCAAATAATTTGGCATAACGCGATCTGGACGAATCTGCATACCTTCATAATTCCGCGGAACGCGCGTATGACATAATGACCGAACGATCACATTAATAACGCACTCGCGCTCGCATTAACACCGCGCTCGACGGAATTCATCGCTTTTCGTCTATCTCGTACTCGTATCTTGTCGATGGGGCGACTGGTAAATTATTACGTGTAATTGATCGCGCGCAATACACGCGTTGGATTTCCCGCGGCTGTTTATTTGCCGCCCACACTCTCCCGATGCGACGGGACGCAACGCATCGGGGCGCGGGTGACGCAACGACCGTTTTGCAGGCTGCGCTTCAGCTGGTGCGAGGGAACGCATGCGTCACGGGACCCCCGGGTCTTGGAAGTAAGTAATTCCGATGTTGCAAAGCCCGGCTGCAAAGGGATGGTAGGGAACAAGGGGCGAAGGAGGAAGGCCGGGCAGGAGGAAAGACGCGAGCGCGCAAAGTTCTAGAACTGCAACCTCTGTTGCCTGTTGTCCCGAAATATGTTACGGCATAATGTCGGGAAACTACAGCGATCGCAATATCGTCCTGGCGCGGGACAAAGTGTGCCTGTAACTTATTTCTCGCGTTGACTGCCGACTGTCGTGCATTCGTTATCATTCGTTTTAAATGCAAATCCGCAAATCTGCCGCGGCCGCAATCGCGGGTTAGCATTGTGGCTATTTGCGTCACGGCGTGTCATCCGCGTGCGAAAGTGGAATTTTCCGCGCTGACCTAGAAAAAAACGATGATTTTCATCTTTGTAAGCGCGCTTTTTTTTTTAAAGCGTGCGCGTAATGGAGCAAAAGTGCGATTGCATGTTTGTTTCATTCCATCGAGACGTAAAATGAAAAATATTGCAGCCGGCCAAAATGTCGGACGTTTATTGTGTTCTCTTAATTTTTTAAGAGACCTGAGATTGTGATAATTTAATGTCGATATTCTAGCTTTCGAATACAGATTCATGATAGAAATCAACATTTTATATTTTAAAATTTATTTTAATATTTTACAATATCTTAAAATGCAATATAAAATATTATTTTTGTAGAAAAATTTTCCCTTAACGTTATTCTATATCTATTATTGGTTTAGGCGATTCTTTTCACGATTATATCTTTACGCTTTCACGCTCGTGATTAGAATCTTTGGGAAATCTTTATACGGTGATGTATCGAAGTCCTGCCAGTCGCGAACAAGTCAGATCGATTAACTCTCCCCTTCGTCTGTTTCCGTTTTCCTTACAGACCAGATGAGCGACGTCTGCAAGAAGTACTTCCTGCGGGATCTCTACAGGAAGATAGACGGCGCCGTTCTTACCTCGCAAAATGAGAGGGAGCTCGATTGCGCCATTACTTTCCAGACTCACAGCATCCTCCAGCGGTTCATGCTCCGATTCGATCAGCTGCAGTTAGACTGCAACGACCATCTCTACATCTACGATGGCGCGCACGCGGTTGGCAGTTACAAGGTAAGTCGCAGAATCATGAAATCTACACATGTGCGCCGAAGGATATTATCGGGAGCGGAGAGTAGCTCGGCTCTACGGCCTTCGGAGGCGAATTATCGCGGGAGGGGGAGGGGGGGCTGCGATAAGACATCTCACGTTTCTCTAATGATTTCGATCGAGAGGATAACCGACACTTGTACGAGGAATAAATTCCAAAAAAAGTTAATGGGGGAAGGAGGGGAGGGAGGGGGGGGGAGGGAAGAGATGAAATTCAGCGATTAAGATTGCTATAATTTCGATTAGATCGAGATCTCGCGATCGCACGCACGCAAAAATGACCTTTACATGCTTATTCGCGACGATGGAGATAAAGAAGAAAGATCGACTTGCGTCTTTTCGTTCATTTTTTTTTCCTCTGTCATCGGCGATGTATCAAAAATTCAACGCTCGGACATTACGCCATTTTCAAACTCTGCCCCGTCAAATTATACTATTATTACATGAAGATTTAATTTACACGTTGTTAGTATGTTATGATTATCAGAGAATATTTTGTTGATTATTCGAGGGGAAACAAAACGCGTCGATACTGCAATTTGTGCAACCTCTGCTACAGAATATCGTACCGTTAATGCGCGAATAAATGTCTCCGGTCGCGGAGCTAAATTTTAGCGATGTAATTCGCTTAACAAAGCGCGAAAAGTCAATTGAAATACGCGAGTACTAAAACGAACAAGTCGGCAGCTGCTCGACATCTGATCTCCTCGAGATAGAGAATCGGGTCAAGGCGAGATCGAGGATGATATTCGCGATATCACATGAAGTATATATTCAATTATGCAAAATAAACGAAATTCATTAATGCGCGGTCCCGACGGTCGTCCTGTCCGATCCGGTTTTTAGATTAGATCATCACCTTGAAGTTTCTCAATCCGAGATCACGTAAGATCTCTTTATTATTCTTTTCAACTCACGAATACCTGTCATTTCTAGGGGAAAAGTAAATAATTATATAACTATTGCCGGATGTGCGAAATGTTAACAAAAGGCCAACTCTATAATTAATCTTGCGCTGAAATTTCGTCTAATGAAGATTTAATACGTTAATTAGCGAATTTGTTTAACAATAGATAAATTAAGCATTTAAAACGACATGTGTAAATGCGAGCGCGCAGAGATTATTATTTTTCAATTAATCCGCGATGAATTTTATTGTGACGCAAGTTCTATGTAGAAGTTAATTATTAAGCTACTTAATGTTATATAGTACGAAAGTGTTTAAAGGATCAACTGGGAGCCATTAAAACGTGGCAATTTGTGCTGAAATTGCTGCGTGGCTCGTGTTTCAACTAGAAATTGCAGACGGTATTAAACGCACGGTATCATATGAGTTTGGTCCCGCCACCAAGGCGGAAACAAAAATTCATAAATGGAAGTATGATATCATTCCGAGACAATATTAATTTTTTTACCTCTATTGTTATTTGCCGGTTGCAAATAAAAAACATCGCGCGTCGCGTTAGTATTAGTATTACGATATTTTTTAGCAGTGATTATTTTTAGACATTTTCCCATTGGCGAGGAACTTGTGTTTTACGTAATATACTCACTCGACGAAACACAGAAAAAAATGAGATTGATGAGTAACAAATTAATTACATGTGGAATTTCCTTTTTATGTCTGTAAAAATGTCTACCTCCAACAGGACTAAATCAGTCAAATATACGAGAAGAATTTTTTATTCTTTTTTAAAAGAATAAAATGTTGTTTAAAAAGAATGTTTCGAAGCACTGAGACTATCAAATTCAATTCCGGATTAATGTTATTATCAAAGGCATTAATATTTTGAACAAAAGTGGCTACATTGTCTTTATAAACGATTAATTTTTAAAATATCTACTGATCTACTTTATTTATATCAGTGTAAAATATTCATCTTATTTGATTATATTGATCATCGCATGAGGAACGATTTACCGAATAGATGTATTTTAATATAATTTGCAATTACAATTCAATGCAAGACAATTTCTATCGCTCTTCTCTTTTATTGGAAAGATATGAAGGGAGAGCAATTTAAGAATTCCAACTTTTTTTCGATTAATTCGATCCTGCAACGCCAGAGACATCAACGGAAGAAAATTCTGCGGCGGACGACTTCATTCAGCGAATCGGCCATTAACGAAAGATCATGACTGATGTTGCGCTGGTATAACGTTTACGGCTCACCATGAGGATTTTTCTTGACTTTTTTCTAACGATCGGCGTGTGCAATCGATGCACTTCTCGCGTGCATTCGACGCAGACCGACCTAATTGCCGTCATCGATCAAAGACGCCGCGCTAATTGCGAGAAGAACGATGTTATTTTCCACGTTTAGAATGACTGTTGCAAAGAGGGAGAAAGAGAGAGACAAAGAGAAGTGTGTGTTTGTACGTAAGTGAGAGAGAGAAAGATCCTTCTCTTTGGCTCGCCCGCGAGGTTGAATTTTAATGTATTCCACCCATTATGCATTCCGAACATGGCCGGCGTGGGACATGGTAGCGCAAACTTGCGCCATTAATCAAGATTCGTTCCTCGCGAGAGAAAGACGCGAAAGGATTCAGTTCCTGCCTTGTCTCAAGTTTCTCTCTTTGATTTTTCGCAATCGAACCGAGATATACTTTCAAAGTGTCTTCATTAAAATCGCACTTCTCTCTCCATAATTTTTTTCTTTTTTAAATAATAAAATGTACTCGCACGAGATAAAGTGTGCTCACACGAAAAATTATAACGTCTCATTCTCTCTTTAACATGTCCGCAAATACTTTTTTCACCCTGCGTCGATTAGAAACAATCGATTAAACGCAAATGCCGATTATTGCAGCTCTCCATGCGTACTTTCGCCATTCGAGTGGAATGTCGCGACGGTATATTTCCCGAGTCGACCAACATTCCCTGAAAAATGAATTCATTTTTTACAGCTCACCCGCCTATGCATCTCGTGGATGCGTATCCGAGCACGAGCGTGTTTATTTATTAAGCGCACTCAATTACGCTTCCACACCGGCCGTAAACAACGCCCTCGTTCGCAGCCCAACTGCAATATAGGGTGGCTAAAATCACATGCAGTTCGGTATAAAAGTTGCCAAAACAACGAAACAAAATAAAACTTATTATAAAATATAAAACTTTCTCAATTATTTTTATTTGTAAAAATTATTATTCTAAAAAATATTATTTCCTTTCGCTGAAATATTAATTCAAATTCCCTATTTCTCTTGCCTTTAATTGATTCGAGAATAATTGACTTGTTATATAAATGTAATCACCGTGGAAAATTTAAATTTAATTTTTCTTTAAGTAACATTGTTGCATCTCGAGCATCAGCTAAAAGTAAAAATATTTTATACTGCTTTTATACTGCTGCGTTGAACGCATCGTTTTGGTATAATTTCAAAACTTAAGAAATATGCAGCTAAAAAAATTGTTATACCGTAGAAAAATAAATCATTCATGCTATTTGAGTATTGGTAGCATCTTATTCTAGTCACCCTGTGTATTGCTACCGCGATATTCGCGGTTCTCGAAGTGCAGAGGGATACGATCTCGGGCATTAATTTAGGAAAAATAAACGACGCAGCAGCCGTGTTATAGTCAGCGGAATATCTTTCTAATTTAAATTACCTTGCGTACTTTTCGCCGCATATTACTCACGATATGCAAACGTTAAGTTACGAGTATGCTGCGTTTCGTCCGCGTTTCGTGCACGTTTGCTGATGTTCATAGATACACGTGTGACGGAGAACAGAAAGTCAGAGAGCAATGCAATTTTGCATAATGACGCTTAAACTTTAATCTTTTTTACGACTTTCTTAATGAGTCGTTAAACGTGTTTTTTTTTTTGGTACATTATTCTCTCTTCTCTTCTCTCTCGATATGCTATCCATCTTTCGTCGGAGAGACTTCTTTGATACATCTTAGTCTCTTCGCGAAGCGCACTCTTGTGCTCGGACCGATGCTGTTTCTTCAGTAAAGTGCTGTATTTTGAAAAATGGAACACAATATGTATCGCCGTTCATAGAGAGTACGAAATGCATTATTCATCCTTTAGAGTGAAACTTTTAGCGGAAGTCATAAATGTAGCAAGTTGAGTACGAATAAGTGTGAATGAAGAGTGAACTTCAAAAGTGCCGGGCGTAAGTTTATTATTTTTTTTACCACGCCGTAGAAAAATTTAGTTTTAATTTCAGAATCCTATTCTTGTGTGGATATATGGTAATTCTTCTTTTAATCCTGACAGCGGAATGGAAATTTTTCTCACAAAAAAGATATTACAAGCGTTTCAATTGGAAAGATCTATCAATTAATCCTAATGCTTTGAATATTCAATCTTTGCATTCAGCTCGTGTTCTCCTTTTTCCACGAGTAGAATGATACATTTTACATATGTGAAATACACGGAAAGGGGAAAAGCTCTCATCATGAGAAATACCCAGAGTTTTAATTTTCAAATTGCGTTGTCCCAATGCGACCGTTGTTAAGAGGACGACATTTTTTAACAGAATCCGCTTATATTCTTTTTCTTGTATTCCTGTCTTGCTGGATTAATTTGCGTCCTGGGATCCGGGAACAGGCGATAAAGTTCTAATTTCGTAACTTGTAATTAACTTGGCCTGCGAAGCTAACTTCGTCTGTGAAAAAAAGAGATGTGGTAGCTACGGAGTTGGCGGAAAAATCTGTTCTTTAATTGCTAATTCAAATAACATAATTAACTCCTTATCGAAGAGAGGAGCGCACTAGATTTTTCACTTTGTCTCTTCGATAAGAGTTCAACGAGCGGGTTTGTATAATTTGAGAAAAAAAATCAGCTACTGAATGTTTCGCAAAAGAATCTCGCAAAATCCATGAGGTGCAGTAAGTACAAAGCACGCTTCGTAACTCACTTTGTAATTAATAAAGTCATTAAGCTGTAACATTAATAATAGTTCTAAAATGTTACAGAATCTCTGTCTTTAGGAAAAGTAAAGTCTAATAGTTA